CCCCCCCCCTGGATCCGCCCTTGTTTCAAACAAGCTAACTACAGAAAATGCTAAATTTTCAATGCCTTGAATCACACGTTTCTGAGTAAATTGCATTACAATTCTAAATATTTCATAGCCATTTTCAATTACTTTTTAGTTCATTCTCTGCGAGAATTGAATAAAATTGGCACATGAGAAAAACTTCTTGCCAAATGAAGTTGGGCATTGAAAACCGTTGATTAATTAATAAGCTGTGATGACAGGGAGAGCGTTTGCCAAAATAATGCGACAACAACTCATACAATTTAACCACATACTTTAACGAATGAGATTTGGAGAGTGCGGCTTTTTCGTCAAATTAAGCAAATATGTGCAAAGTTTTTCATCAGCTTCAGGCTCTAACGGAAATATTCTTCCTCAACTCTTTGGAGAGCGTTTAGCTAACTCTACCTGCCCAGTTGCCTTCAATATTTGGTAACTTACCCCACAGTATTCATCATCATTAAAAATCTGAGGCGGCAACGGGTGTCTTGGGTTGGGGTCACTGATGGTGCAGCCCATAAGTTTGGAATGCGTCTGCATGTATTCCTTTGCTTCTTCCATATTGGGCTCCGCAATGTCCAACAGGTCGTAGGTAACACTTTTGGAGTCCAAGATTAGTGTTACCCTTTGTTGGCGCTTCTTCACCTAAGGGACACTTTCGTTCAATGTGTTTGTTGCATGTGAAACTAGCAGGATTTTCAGCAAAGTCAGTGCGCTTAAAGGGGCTTTAGTTCGCATTGATTTATAAGCAGTATTTTCGATTCAGAGCTACTCATATTGAGTCACTGGTCTAATGAGAGGGATATGAATAAATTTGGGTAAAAACGGTTGTGGAATCCACAAGGGCCACTTACCTCTTTGTTGCCGGACATCCCGCTAATGTACACCTTAACAACCATTTCTCTTAATTAAATGATATTTAAAAAATAAGAAAATATTTGATATTTGAGTTTCAGGAATTTTTTTCACTTTTAACTGCGGGTGGCACTTAACAGCGATGCCATGAGTACAACAGTTTTTACTAACTGTAGGCGATTTGTAATAACACCTATTATTTTATTGTACAAATATTGACTGAGCTTTTCGCCACATCGAAAGAATTTGTTCAGCGGAACATTACGAGATAATTATTCAAATAATGACTGTAAAGAGCAGCTGTTAAAACAGGTTTAATATATTCAAAAATCCACAAATTTTGAAAGTTTTGGAGACCTGACACTATTGCCCTAGAGTTATGTAGAAGTTGCCAATGTCAAGTGCACTGAACAGCTGTTTCTGACATTGAAGGGATGCATATTTTGAAAATCTAACTTAACCAAATCGCAACCATGAGAACATGGAAATTAATGGACGAAAACATGGAAATCCATTACGAAAAAGCATGCAGGCTGTGCTTGAAATCATCTAGAAACATGTTCGACATGTTTACCTATCTGTTGCAACCTAGTCAAATTTCCCTAGTGGACTTTACTAGAAAGTTAACAGACCTAAAAGTAAGTAAGTTTTGGTCGCATTTGGAACCATGAGGGTTTTTTGGCCATAAATAAGGAAAACAGGAGAATGTATTTTGCTCATTTAATGCAAAGGGCTTGATTGTATAATACACTGAAGTTAAATGTATGGGATTCATAATCAATGCTCAGCCAATGTACAATTTTTCTCAATTCCAGCTTGCAAAAGGAGAGTTTCTGCCAAGCAACATTTGCACCACTTGTATTGAATGCATAAATTCCACGCACAGTTTTATCAATGTGTGCCGGGCTTCGGATGATATTCTAAAGAAAGAAGAAACCAGACGCGAATTCCGCAAAATCGAGCAAGAGGCTCTTTTGGATGAGCACGAAACTGGGCATTTTGAGGAAGGTAATGCTGACAATCAATCGGTTAAATGTGAAGGTACCTATTGACTTAAAAAAAAACTGCAGCTGATATATCAATTCGGTGAATTTATTGCAGACGCGCACCTGAACGAAGGGGGCGATTTGTCTGAAGCAGTTTCTGCGGATATTAGTGGGAAAAGTCAAACAGTGGAAGTCATAAAATTACCTGAAAAAATGCAGGAAAAATATGCGTGCAGTTTTTGCGAAGTAAAATTTAGCAACAAATTAAAGTTCCTTACTCACCAGAGTCTGCATGACGAAACCAAGCCATTCAAGTGCTCTTCCTGTCTACACAGCTTTTCCAAAGAGGTTAAACTGCATAATTTCCAAATAATGAAAAATCAGTTTTTATTAATCTGGGTATTTAATCTTCAGGCTCACTTGCGAGTACATTTGCGGTCTCATGCCAATCCCGAAGAAAAAAAGCACTCATGCCCTACATGCGGCAAACAGTTTTTCTATGCTTATTTGCTAAAGCAGCATGAGTACAAGCATTCAGATCAAAAACCGTTTCCGTGCTCCAAATGCGACAAAGGTGAGATTCACTGAAAAAGTGAGTTGCAATTAAATGTTCATCGTGAAGCTTTCAGGATGCCTGACCTCCGAAAATCTGAGGCGACACATGAAAACTCACGATGAGAACTACACTAAGAAAGTATACAGATGCACAGTGTGCAGAAAAATATTTCCGTATCCCAGTTCACTGTCGGAGCACATGAAGTTGCATACCGGCGAAAAGCCCCATCTTTGCTCGATATGTGGAAAGGGGTTCAGGCAGAGCGGGTCTTTGCATTTCCACCAGCGAATCCACACAGGCTACAAGCCATTCAAATGTGAGAAATGCTCGGAATATTTCAAGTCTAGAAGTGAGTTGATTTAGTCAAACCCCGCATTTCAAGTATATCTTATTGTGCTGATTTTTAAGGCCTGCTGAAGGTACACATGCGAAAGCACACCAATGAAAGGCCGTTTGTCTGCGACACCTGCGGAATGGCTTTCCGACAGTCCAACGACTTAAAAAGCCATTTGAGGACTCACACTGGGGAGAAACCGGTTTTATGTACACTGTGTGGCAAGAGAATGGGCACTACTGGTAAGCACATTTTATAACATTTCTCAAAGCAATAACATGGTGCTTTCTTTAGGACAATTGACGATTCATTTAAGAACCCACACCCGCGAGAAACCCTATACATGCGCAACTTGTTACAAGTCATTTGCTACCAAATCGGTTTTGCAAAAGCATCATCGCATCCACACAGGTGAAAGACCGTACGAATGCTCAATTTGCCATAAATCATTCAATCAAAGTTCGACACTGAAAACCCATTTAAATATCCACAGGTGAGCCATTTTCTGGTCAATTTCGTAGCATCATTATGTTTGAGTTTCTTGCAGCTCTGAGAAGGAAAAAGGCGATTGCAATCGGCGAAAACGGGACTGTAAAAAAGCTTCCCGAAACCCCGATAAGGCCACTGTGGAAATTCAAGTTAATGATGAAGTAAAAGTGAATACGGATGTGCGGACTCAATTTACTGTGATTCTGCCAGCCCCCATACCATTGCTTAGTACGACTGATTAGCAAGGGCGGATCCAGGGGAGGGGTCATGGGGGTAATGACCCCTCCATTCAATTCTCTATCCAACGGTGCCAAAACGATTTCTCTGGCTCGAATGGTTCTTGAGAAACCTCGAAAAAAGCAGCGTCATGTTCAAGTGGATTTTGCAACTCAAAAAAAAACCGCGCAAACCTAAAACTTCTTGAATTCAAGCATTTTTTGAGAAAACTGCCAACATTTCCCCATCCATGGTTCACTTTCTAAAAAGGCCATTTATTTC